TACATTTTAAGCAAGTCGAACATGCATTATATTTGCAAATTGTTTTGTTTTTTTTCACTTCATTATACTGTTAAATGTAATCTTTAGCAAATCTCAAAATGAATATCAATTTTTCATACTGTGCATTATAATGTTGCCTAATGATTCCTAAATTCACTTTTGCCATTTAAAGTAATTTTTAAGTGCTTCATTGTTCATTTAAACAAAATAGAATTTTGTTTAAATGAACAATGCATAAGCATAGCATAAAAATTATTATCAGCTATTTATCTAACAGAATCATTGCATCTCTAGTTCTGAACAACATAAGGGCGAGGAGATGATGAATTTTCTTTAAGGGGCGTCAAACAGACAGCAGCCCCCTTTCACCGATTCTTACTGAGCATATCGGCCAAAGAGCAGACGCAGACCCTTCATTAAACAGATTACATCTTGTCTAGAGCAGCGGGGCCAAAGACTGGTAGTCCACCATTGGGCTGGGTAAAACACAACTGCTGGTGGCTGACTGCACACCCACTCGCTGTGGGAAACATTCTCACACCTCACACCCACACGAGACGTCACTCTCCTCTGGACTCCATTCACTGGTCTATCAGAAACCCCTGTGCTTCATGCCTGAGAGCAACACACACCACTCGCCAGATGGCTTCCTGACTGAAACCGGTGCCTCAATGAGAATGTGGTGATACACATCTCGTTAAGCAATTAAAATGCCCCCATCGCTCTCATGTCCGCCAGGTCCCCGGGGGAGCAGCATGGCGTGAATGCGATTTGGAAAATGTGACTCTAAAAATCCCAACAATCCGAATAAGGCCTATGTGTAATTAAAAGCTTGTCCTTCGCCACATTAATGGCCACGAAGAGGGGAGCGGGCATCGCTTCCAAAGTCTCAGGAGCCGAGAGAGATTTAAATGTAAACAAGCCCGTTAAACGTGTCTAACAAGCACGAGATTGGCACAGCTGTCAGATGGCTTCCTGCCTGTTGCTGGGAATGGCGCTGGCTTCCATGAACTGAAACTCACTGGATTGACAACAGGTGTTAAACTCTGTGCTGTGGCACTCTGTCCCAACGTGCACCTAATCTCACGAATAAGCAGTTAAGACTGAAGAGGGTAAGGGTGAAGTACACATCTTAAAATCGTTCAGAAAAAAGTAGTGATCAACCAATATGGATTTTTTTTGATGGCCAGTACTGATATTTTAGAGAGCAGGATACCTGATGGCCAATATAAAGCTGATATAATATATGATATCACACCATTTAATTTGAAGACCATCAGCCAAACAGAAAAACTGAACAGTCAATCCAGTAAATTAAAAAATCCTAAATAACTTCCAATATACAGCAGCCTTGGCTATGTATCGGTCTACCACTAAAAAAAAGCATTTCACCACCATTCTAAATGTGAAGTAAACTTTCAAATTAATTGTCAACATCATGACAACACCTATAATAATTAGGGCTTCAGTCTGCAAGTAAAATGATAGCAGATGCAACCGAACAACAAAGTGTGATTCACAAACAAATGACCCTTATGAACGGTTCTTTTTTAATGAATTACTCACAAAAATGTAAATTAAGAAGTTCCACATACTTGCTGATCTTCTGACAATAGCAAAGCACAAAATTACCATTAAAATGAACGCACATCCCTGTGAAATGTTCAATGACGAACAAAACTGTTATTACGAACAACAATCTATAACGTGCACACTGTAAAAAATAAGTGTAATTTTAACTGTAACATTTTGTAAAAACGCTACGGAAAAAAAATGTTAATAGGTTAACAGTAAGTTCCCGTACTATATACAGGGAAAAACTGTAAAATATCTAACCAGACATTATGTAATTTTACAGTAAAATTTACAGTTTTTAGAAGTAAAAATAACAAATCAATGTATAATTTACAGTCAAAAACTGTAAACTGATATTCCCAGAATTCCCTGCATGACACTCCACATTTGAAAGTATTTTGTTTAAATAATCATGCAATTTTTACAGTGCAGTCTGGTAATCTGGAAACTAACAAAGTTTTTTTTTTTTACTTGTAGGCCAGATATACAAGCATAAAATATGACAGTTCACATTAATATTTGGTTGTATTAAAAACACAAGTCTAAAAAACACAACTATAGCAAGACAAACAGCCCAGCAGTCCTTAGAAGCTCAAAATCTCCACAAGAGATTTCACGGGTCATAAACAGTGCCGCTTTTCTCAGCCTCCTATGTGGCCACCATCCTGGCTCAATTGCCTTTTGTAAAATTTTTATTCATCCTTTTAATTTTCCTAAAGCACCCAAATTCTAAGAATTTTTACAGATAAAAAAAATCTCCCTACAGCTTCAAGACATAGCAATGAACAAAGTTTCAATTCACCCTACATTGGCCCTTTGAAATCACTGTAACTAATGTAAAAAGAGCACTTCCACAAAGCAGCATATCAAATCCGAATGATCTACGCACAGTATTTCCCATCTAATTATCAGAATAATGCAAATATTAAAAATGCGAAATGACAAAACTCCTCTCACCTCTTTTACCGCTGACCCTGTGCTAATTTCACAGACAAAACGAACATGTACACATGCGTGATGAATTAGGGGAGAATAGCACTGGTGTGGTCTGTCTGCCTTTATCATGGGAGAGATTAATCAAGGAGAGGAATGTGCATCCATATCAGTGCTGCATTCCTAAGGTCGCCAAAAGCAACAAGAGTAATGGCATCGCTGTGATACGAGGGATGTTTTACACTCGAGGGGATGTTGGAACTAGACTGTGTTCTTTCAGGTAGAGGAGCCGGGCTGGTGATTATTTGCTAAATCTGATCTGATGTATTTGACTTTGCAGAGCTTAGATAATTTAATCTATAAAATCCTATTAAAAACTAAAACAGTCTACGTACATGGCTCTGAGATGGATTTCACATCACTGCAAAAATAAGCGTAATACATTCCACAAACTGTAACCTATGCCCACTAGCTGTGGGTCTAAATGCTTTTATGAGACCACCATATATCCATTCGGGAAAGGTAATTAAGCCATTTCTTAACCAAAATACAAAACAAGATGACACTGACTACCAGTGGCCGCTGGCCAGTTATTCCTGACATGACTGCTTTGGCGTGTCCTGATGTGGTGAGTCCTGTAACCACTATCCTGGCAGCCAGTGTTCACTAGTGTTTACAAGGGGCTGTTTTACAACACTGTAATTTTCCACCTCCATCACTGGAGAAAACACAAGCATGCAAAATCGAATGACACAAACACAAGTTCTGTTTTCCACCTGAAATCGAAGGACAGGCACCATGAGAGCTTTACCTTACAAAACTTTTAACATGGTAAACATAGTTTTGTCCAAAATGCATTACATTAATATGAGCCAATAGTACTTTCTAATGCTTTCTTAATCTGTTTGAATGACGTTAGCTCAAGTAACAGTATCTTTTCAGAATTTTTACATGTAGTAAAATACTATGGTATAGGCCAGGGGTGGCGAACGTCGGTCCTGGCGAGCCGCAGCCCTGCAGAGTTTTGCTTCAACCCTACTTTCTAATGCTTTCTTAATCTGTTTGAATGAAGTTAGCTCAAGTAACAGTATCTTTTCAGAATTTTTACATGTAGTAAAATACTATGGTATAGGCCTACGATGGTTTCCATGTTCATTTTTTGAAAGGTTGCCATCCAGTTTCATGTAACCACAGAAATCTAACTAGACTCAACATCACTGGGCTTTTCACACTTGAAATTGTTAACCCTTTTGTCAGTTTTAACCCCAAGAAAACTTAATCCTGGGTTATCTTGTTTCATGTTTCACATTGTTCATACCATACCCTGAGTGGTCAGGTGTCCGATTTCTCACTCTGTAAACTTACAACCTATGGTTTAACGCTCTTTGCATATGTTTGAGGTGGGAAAATAGCATGTGACCTGTTTTAAAAACCGCTTGCCCAACGTTCAAATGTCACCAAGTAGATCTACTGTGCTTGTGTATAGTCTGCTAAAACATATGATACTTTTTCAGTAGTCGCACTGTTCAGCATTTTAACCCTTTCTCGTAAGACACTTAAAGGGATAGTTCACTCAAAAATGAAAATTCAGTCATTAATTACTCACCCTCATGTTGCTCTAAACCCGTAAGACCTCCGTTCATCTTCAGAACACAAATTAAGATATTTTTAAGATTAAGATATTTTTGATGAAATCCGAGCTTTCTGACCCTCCCATAGACAGCAATGTAATTACCACGATCAAGGTCCAAAAATGTAGCAAGGAGATCGGTAAAATAATCCATGTGACATCAGGGGTTCAACCGAAATTTTACGAAGCTAGGAGAATGCTTTTTGCAAGCAAAGAAAAGAAAAATAACGATTTTTTTCAACAATTTGTCTCCTCCGCGTCACATGGATTATTTTACTGATCTCCTAGCTACGTTTCTGGACCTTGATTGTGGTAATTACATCGCTGTCTATGGGATGGTCAGAGAGCGCTCAGAATTCATCAAAAATATCTTAATTTGTGTTCCGAAGATGAACAGAGGTTTTACGGGTTTTCATTTTTGGGTGAACTAACCCTTTAAACAGCGCTTGAACGTGTACGCGACATACATAGCCTACATAAGTGCGTGAATGTTTAATGACAACACTGGTTGTTTACGTTGTAGCATCGCGTGTCAGGGTTAACCTAGGGTTAAAAGCAGTGCTAACCTTCTTTACGATGTGAAACGTTTAACCCAGGGTTAAAACTGGCCTTTACCCAAAGTTTGAAAAGAGGTTAACCCAAGAGTAGTATGAAAAGCCAATGTAACCAGTGAATTTATGCATAATTATTACTGTATAGTTGTGTATACCGCAGATGATGGCAAGTGTTATTCTGTACTCGCTAAAGTTCTTCTACACACTGGCTGTGCCTCAAATCCTTTTGAGACAGTATTTTGTGACTGCTCACGGGGTTTTGAGACACAGCCAACACTTCAGACAAAACAATTCTACACAAGCATCACCTTTGGTTTTTCATGCTGTTCTCCTTTTTGTTCAAAACCCCCGGTACGCAGTTGGTCAGTTCGGTCCAGTCCGCGTGTAAGCCACAACTCCATCCGGTGGAGAACCGAGAGAAGAGCCAGGTCTCTTTCCTATTGGGTCGGTAACAGGTACACTTCTTCTGTCCCGGTCTACAGTCGCACGGAACCTCCAGCCTGACGTTCTGGACCAGGTGCCTCCCGAACGTGGTGCCTCCGGTCTTCTGGATGTGGAGGAACACGATCACATCATCCCCTTTGATTTCAAAATCCACAGTCCGCTCCAGATCCCTGATGGGGAAATAGAATTTCTTCACGTAATGTGGATCAGGAGTCGGGAAGAGATCCGCATCGTCTTCCAGCATGTACCCGTGCGGAGAGCCGAAGTTCATCATCCCCGGAGCCACGTACTGATACAAAATCAGCATGAACAGAACCGAGCCGACAACGATGAACAGAAATTTACTGCTCCTCTCAACCATGTTCCTTCCAGTGAGGAGGTTCATGTGTTACCATTTCCCGGTTGACTGTTTTTTAGGGTGTCTCCATATATAAACACACGGCAGTCAGAGCATCGCGCGCGGTAAGTGAATCGTCAGACACATAGGATCAGGATGGAAACGGTCGGACTCATTGCATCAGATGTGTTGCGGTATACGATCCACGATCTCCCTCCTTCCACCACTGTATGACACAGTGTGTTTAAAGTCCTCTACACATCGCTCTGAAGCTGCTCCAGCAGCGTGCACAGCGACACCCACTTTCCCAACACGCGCGCGCTCTACTCTCTCAAACACAAACGAGCACAATGTTTTGTTTCTAGTGAACGCCCGCGACTCCTTTTGCATTATGATATTTCTCTAAACTCAGCGGCGTTTTTTTCCCATGAAGCAAAGCAGCTAGTGCCTCCTCAAAAAAAAAAAATTTAATAATAATAAAAAAAATAAAAAATAAAAAAAAAAATATATATAAATAAAAATAAAAAGGAGAACAATCGACAATAAAACATAAAATAAAATAAAAAAAATTCGCACAGGGGCATCACGAATCTGCCTGAATGCCTCAAACTAGTTACAACGTAAACATCTCCCACACTTCTCACTATTACCACTTTTAGTCATGTCCAAATAGAAATGAATCTTGAAATGACTCGAATCATGCAAAGAGTTCATTTGCAAAAACCGATAAACGCCACGTTTAAAAAAAGAACTGACTGCCGTGCAATATTCACACATATATCATGTTCTTAACCTTAAACAAATGTTGTCACAAAAGTTGGTATTGTCCACTGTCAAGGCATCGCGAGTTCATGTTTTACAGCAGAAACCGACAACGCCCTTGTCGCACACAGCAGGCAGTTAAAAATGGTGAGGATGGATCATTTCGACGAACTTGATGAAACCGTGATATCATATCTTCTTTAGGGCATAAAAGGAAAATAAAAGCTGAAACTTTTTCACGGAACCTTACTAAAGCAGCATGTTACAGTGGAGAGGGACAAGCTCCCTGTATTGCGTGTAATCACAAAGCTTGTCAGGCATCTACATTGTCAATTGAGGAGATTACACAGATTAAACGAGTGTTTTTGTTCAACTCTGAAACATGAAATGTGGAGATATCTTCTTTGGCACAAAAAAAAATCTAAACTTTTAATATAAAAAACTTTAATTTTGTAAGTTGCCTGTATTTTTTGATTAATCTGTATTATTACTTAATCAAAACAGCCCAACTGCAGTTTGATTGATATTACTTGGAATGCACAATAAAATTAAAAAAAACATGATTTCTAAAAATAAATAAAAATGAAGTTTTTGCAAATAAACTCTTTTCACGCAATGATTTGTGCGTTTGTTGAGGTTGTGATAACTAATGTTTAACAACGCACAAACCAGACTTTGATTTAATAAAAAGCATCTTAGTATAAAGAGTATAAATATTAAATAAAAACAACAAAAAAAATATGTTAAGTTGTATAATGTTTTCTTGTTAATGGTAAGCAAAAAGAATAAAATAGTAAATCAAACGTTTATGTCTACTTACGACATAAAAAAGCACAACAATCGTACAAATGATAAACAGGCATGCGGACACAATGTGACTACTGCTGTGTATAGCCACTCAAACTGCTTTATAGTGCTGGCTGGAAAATGAAATCATGTAACAGATTAAATGGTGTGATAATATACACTTTGAAAGATAAACTTGCCTTGAAAGATAAAATGGCAATTTGTCGTTGAGCAGTAAAGTGTAAAACGATGTCTTTATGTGTATATTCATCTCTGATAAGATAAAAATCATAATTAATTTTAAAAAGAAGAGTTTGTGTAAAGAACGAGAGACCACTTTTAACTTGAAGAAACAGTGAAACATAAAATTAACAACAGAAATGTTTAGCTAGTACTCAGCCTGCACTCCTCCACCACAGCTAGTGGGCAGTATTGAGAGCTGTGCTCAGTTGTATATAGAGATCTGTAGTTTTGCATTGACATTGGTTTTTAAATTTGCCTCATGAATGTGCAAGAGTACCATGCCTCTTATAATAGATTTTATTATTTTTATTATTTAGATTTTTTTGTGGGTAATTGTATGTACAAAATTTCAAAGAATTTGTTCAAAGAAGCAGGCAAAAAGAATTGAATGTATTATTGAACTCTGTAAATTCTAATATTGGTATTATACAAAGTTTTCACAGACATTAATTCTATTTTATCATCATATGAGTAAACTCACTAACATCCATGCAAAACATAATTCTACTAAAAAATATAAAACGAATGCTTATCATTACACAATCCTTAGCTACTGTAATTCACTAACATTATTAATTTCCCTGGCTCATATCTCTCTACTCAGAACAACCTGATCTTGTACAAATTAACTCAAACAAATTATGTTTGCAACTTGCTCGCTTAAATACCGCAAGCCAAATTAACATATTTTTATTTACAACTACAGAGGCGGCCCGAAGAAAGCCTGTCATTTGATATCATGATTATTGTGCCTGGGGACCTACTGCATAATGAAGCTATGGAAATGCTGCGTTGTGGCTGATCATTTGTCGCTGAGGAGCTTCACTGAGATTAATTGTGTGTCCTGCGCTCTGGTTCTCTTCTGCAGATACAACAACTCCAGTTCCCACATGGTGGACTCCATCATGCAGAACTTTTTCCACTTAAGTACATTTCTCCATTGTTGTAGCAGATTCAATGCATAGTAGATGCTTCATGTATGCATTGGTTGAATACAGGTTAGCTAGTTAATGTACAGTAGTGCAAACAGGGATACTAGAGTTGCCACCTGTCATGTATAATACGCAATCAGTAATATGCAAAAGATATTCAGAGTTTTGTATGAGACCTCCATGACATTAACCACACATTGAAGCATTAAGAATGGTTAAGATGTAAAGACTAGAATACATTAGACAACTTTTAAAATTGGAACTGATTTTAAAATATACTAGACATCACACACTTGCCAACTTTGTAAATGGTTACAGAGATAAATAGGAATCATAAACAACTGAGAATTGGGTGTTCGTTCATCCATAAATATTTATGTACAGACAATTATGTGGCATTTGAATTTACCTTGGATGGTTAAATTGATATGTGTGCACTGGTATGTGAAACTTTAGTATGAAATACATATATTAAAAAAAAAGATACTACAAAATTGTATGTCAGTAAGTCAAAAAGTGACTGCATCTTTAGCACTTAACAGTCAAACGGTGACTTTTTTTACATAGATGCTAGCATATAGACTTAAAGGAATATGCAACATTTAATAAACAATATTTTATCGTCAGTTACTCACCTTCAGGCATGCATTTTCTTCTTCTTCTGCAGAACACAAAATATGTATAAGAATGCTGGCATCCAAACAACTTTGGAGCCCATTGATTTTCTTTTGATAGAACCAAAACACACTGCAGACATTTTTCTAAATATGGTCTTCAGTGTTCCACAGAAGAAATTAAGTTCTGCAGGTTTGGAACAAACATGAGGGTGAGCAAATGATGACAACATTTTCACTTTTGGATGAAGCATCACTTTAAATCTCAAATGGCATGTGTTGTATAAAGAAATTAGAAAATTATAAAGAAAAAGAAACTCAAAATCTGATTTCCTTCGGAAAACCCCAGCTGCAGTGTGTAATAATGATGGGAGTATTGATTTGCCACAACTATCTCTGTTCTTCTGTTTTGATGAATTGTTTCTGTTATGAAAGAAAGCAACTTTTAATGTGATACCTTCCCACAACTATTTTCAATTTGTGCACAGTTGAACTGAAAGGCAAAAGCCTGCTGCAGTAGAAGGACACAGTGATGTCAGGGGTCAGAGGTGCTCTAGTAAGCAAGTCTCAGGCCATAATCAAAAGCAGCCCTGTGTGTATAAAAGAGAGATTCTCTATCTGCAGCACATTGGAATGCTGTTGTTGTTGTTATTGTTATTTTTCTCCAGAGTAGAGCTCATAATTGAAGATTTAGGTAACATTAAATCTCAAGTTCATTACTAAAAAATAAACTTTATAGACAGAATTGACAGATTAAAATGTTTTTTTTTGAGAAACAGAAAAATCAAAGCTAAACATAACTCGACACTCAACTGAAGTTCATAATACATGATAACATTCACTACTACAATTCACATAAAATGACTGATTAAGAAAACATCACCAGGAAATATCTATATAATATCATAGAGGCTTGAGTCTAGTTGACGACAACCATGAACATTTAGACTAGGATTATCATTTCTCTGAACGCATTTTTAATCCTAATCCTACATGGCATCTCTGATTTTAAGAGATATAATACATTTTTGTGTGTGTCGCACACTCATACAAATGCACATTTTAGGGCATGAGATGACAAAGCAACCAATGGTTATCTTCTTTTGTTCAGACTGTTTCAAAAATAATCTCAGATGCAAAAATACATTTCTGGATTAGCCTGGGCAGGCAAAGTATTTTTTTTTCATCTTCAGCTGTCCCTGTTACCTCCTGCGTTTAGATTTACTCAACTGCCTTGACTAAATTAATGATGTGCACAACTTTAACGGATGCATGTGGGAGTTATTTATTCCTTGTTTTGGCACTTACGGTGACAACAAGATATAAGAGCCATTTTTAAGACCTGTAAGAGTGAGAGAGAAAATGAGTGTAATAGTTGTTACACTCTAAATGTCATAGTTACTGTATGCAGCTATTTTTTGTGCCTACAAAGTTGCTGAATGTGTAATATTAATGGACCTACATAGATAAGGGAGTGTTTCAGCAGATTGTGTGAGTATTGCTTACCTCAGATAGCCAGGATTGGCATAGAAGAAAACGGAGCTCTATTCCCTGCAGAAAAAGAGAGCCATGCCAGGCTAGACACATGATCTGGTCTGCAACTGAGGCCTGTGTGAGTTTAGATTGTACGAAATTCTGATGTAAGCCCTGAATCATCTCATATGGCTACCTGTACCCATTCGAGGAAGATTTCAAATGTATTAAAAGAAACCAGAAACTGCAAAGTCAGTCAGTTTCTGCATGGCATACACATTCACCTAGGAGAAGAGAATTATTTGATTTAAGAGATTTATATAAATTTGATTTTGATTGTTCAGTCGCAGCATCAAGAGGTTGAACTTATGTTCACCATCGTTCATGCTGCATATCAACTTTATACAATACTTTCATGTCTCCTATATCACATCACAAACTCGCACTCTCTTGTTTCATTCAAATGCAAATGGAGATTATGGCTCAAGTCAATATTTCATGTGCA